CCGGAAGGGAACCTGTGCAACCCAGCAATGCTCTCCTTGGCGACAAATAGGCCGCAGCACCTGGGCTCGTCAGCCGCCGTGGGCTCATCGGCGGTACGTGGCTCGTCAGCCCGCCGTAGCTCCGTCAGCTGCACGTGGCTCCGTCAGCTGCACGTGGGCTCGTCAGCTGGTACGTGGGCTCCATCGGCCGATACGTGAGCTCATCAGACGGATCGTGGGCTCCGTCGGCTCGACCGTGGGCTCAATCGGCCGGTACGTGGGCTCCGTCGGCCGGTACGTGGGCTCCGTCGGCCGGTACGTGGGCTCCCTTCAGCCCGCACGTGGCTCCGTCGGCCGGTACGTGGGCTCCCTCAAGCCGCACGTGGGCTCCATCGGCTGGTACGTGGGCTCCGTCGGCCGGTACGTGGGCTCCGTCGGCCCGCACCTGGGCTCCGTCAGCCGGTACGTGGGCTCCGTCAGCCGGTACGTGGGCTCCGTCGGCCCGCCCGTGGGCTCCGTCAGCCGGTACGTGGGCTCCGTCGGCCCGCCCGTGGGCTCCGTCAGCGCATGCCTAAGGGCTGTGCCTCCTGCGCCAACCTCTGCTGAAAACAGTATTAGCTCTGACTGAGAATCTAACGACAAAACCGCTTTGAAATGTTGTCACAGCCTTTTGGGACGTCTGCAGACTCCAAAGAACCGGATCTGTTTCTTGTTTCCTGTACAGTGTTAGGAAAACTTGTTTTCCAGTGTTTCTGCTGCAGGATGAACTTGTAAAGAATAAAGCCTCAGAGGTGTTCCTTCCTTTGCTTTTAGCCCAAGTCGTCTCTGCATACTCTTCCTCACCCTCTGATGTCACCCCAGGATGAGCGGCGGGTGGAAGGAAGGGGTGAAGACACAGTCGGGGTGGGAAGGCTACTGTCTCCCACTCTCGCGGAGTGTCCTTTTAAATCGGCGCTGGCCTGGAGGAGGTTTTCGCTGTTTGAACCGCAGGCTGTATATGACCTTAAAAAAGCTCTCAGCCACAAGTTGGATGCGTTGGCAGCGTTACAAACGTAGCACCACGGCAGGGAGTGCTTCGCTTCCCTGCTCATTTCTGGCCGGGGAGGGAGGAATGCTGGGCATCGGGAGGCGAGGAGAAGGCTGCCCAGCGCCTCGCACACTGCCTGGCCCCTGGGCCTCCTCCTGGATCCCAGGTAAGCACCGCGGGGCCGGAGCAAGGCCAGCCCAGCTCCTGAGAGAGGCCGGGAAGCGGGGTGCAGTGGGGTCCGGGGAGGTCGCCTCACCTTCCAGAGCTCCAGGCCCGTCTCAGCCCATAGGGTTCTCATTCAACCCAATAAATGGCTGAAAATGTGCTCTTATGTTTTCTTATTATGCATATCTCTGTATATCACTTTGCAGCATGCTTTTCTATAGACTATTAAAAACATGAAAACAGCAACAGAATGTTTGTTTTTTACAAATCTGTGGCTAGTTGTTAATCTGTTATTCTTTCATATTCATAAATTATAAAATCTTATAGCACTCTACTGCTGGGAAATGAAATATTATATAAAGTTTAGTTTTCAATATTAATGTTTTAAAATACTACAAATGGATAAAATGTAAGACAACATTAGGCAGTGAACTGCAAAACTATAGGGAAAACACTTTCCTACAATATGGCATTAGTCTCTAAATGTAAAGATCAATGTCACAAACTTGGGTTCTTAAACATTTTTTTTATATCACAAATTGTGTTTCCTCTTAGATGTCAGAAACTGAGCTGGAAAACATAAAAGTAAGAGCAGCTGAGCATTTTGAAAAGGATAAAAATAATATTTCTTGGTTGAAGGAAGGTAAGTCCTCTTGCTGTGGATTTTCTCTGAATGTGAAAATTGTGATTTTGTTTATAAGCAAGAGCTAATGTGGGAGATGGAATGCCGGGCAAGTCAAATAATATTCGTGCTTCTGATTTTTTTAAAGTTTTCTCTCTCGGGCTGGGTGGCATGTGAAGGTGTTTGGCATTGAGCAGCGTTTGTTTCCCTCTGTCGCAGTGAGCACATGGTTTTGCTGGAAGAGAATGTACATTTTCAGCTTGGACAGATTATCTGTGAGGTTCTGGTTGTGCTGTAGGACTTTCTCCTTTAGCCAAGGAGACTAAATCATTTGAGGACAAGAATTTTCTAAATAATAATCACAGCAAGGAAGGCGTGCTGTAGGAAGTGATGTCTACAAATAGAATCGCCATTCACTGCAATTAAAGGGGCCACCTCCCCCGGGAGAGCGGCTGGCCGCAGGCACCGTGTGCGTAAGGCGCTGCTGGAAATACACACACAAATCGATATGTTCTCCTAGGACGAGAGCAACTTTGTGCGCTTTTGAAAATATGTATAAGCTCATGATTATTTACTAGAAGGTTTCATTTTATAATCTTTTCATTTTATGAACATCCTAATGTTTCTTAAAGTAAAGTGACTTGGTATTTTATTGAAATGGGTGTATCTTTTACATTATTTCATAAATTTATTCAATCGTACAGAAACAGCTCCTCATTAGTTGCCATTCCTCAAAATTGCATTCTAAGGTCATGGGAGACTTTAACATATACGTCAAGGAAGTTCTACAACACCAGATCAATACTAGCAATAACATCGACCCATTGCCAATGTGTGCTGATAGTATGCTGAGTCAGCACAACAACCTGTGCAACAGTAATTATTCCTAATTTTCAGAGGAGAAAATAGAATCACAAAGGGCTGAAGTAACGGGCTAAGAGGACAAGATTAGGAAGCGTGACAGAGCTGAATTCGATCCCAGAGTGTGTGACTCCAGGGCATCTGAATTAACCACGACCTTATACAATGTTTCAAAGGAAAGATGTTAAATTACTTGCAGGGCGTGACCTACCCCATGCCCCACTAATCACAGTTCATAGCTGGAGCTCCTCTCTGCTAGAGCTCTGCTTCAGGATAAAAGTTGGTGCAGACATGAAGTATTCTCAGAATCACTTCCTTCAAAAAGCCACAGGCAAGAAAATTCTCTAACTTCTCTTTATTAAGAGATGTTTAAATAGAACATTTAAAAAAACTGTGAAATTAAAAATTGAATTTGGATCAAAGATTTCCCTTTGCATTTCCTGTGAACTCCAAATCCATGAAGACAAAGGTGCTCTTCACCACTGATAGTGATGTTTACATTATTGACTTTTGCTATAATTATGCCATTCTACAGTCTCATATAGAAACAATGATGAAACTGATAGAACAGTCCATTGTTTACTGAAGTATTTTCTTTTTAAAGAAAGTGTGTCCATTAAGTACAGTTTTGGCACTAAGTTCTTGTAATCCATAAAAGCCAATTTCCCAGGTGACCTGCTTTATCCCTTTGGACACTTCATTTAAGCTATGTTCAAATTATGTTTAACATATTTCATAAAAAGAAATTGAACCAGATTCTAGATGTCTTTTAAGTAAATGGACTTGATATTTTATTGAAATAGGTGTATCTTTTACATTATTTCATAAATTTATTCAATCGTAAAGAAACAGCTCCTAAGTAGTTGCCATTCCTCAAAATTGTATTCTAAGGTCATGGGAGACTTTAACATATACGCCAAGGAAGTTCTACAACACCAGATCAATACTAGCAATAACATCGACCCATTGCCAACGTGTGCTGATATTATGCTGAGTCATCACAACAACCTGTGCAACAGGAACATCTTAATAGGGGAATCATCAGAATGAGCTATTATTCAAACATAAATCTCTTTTTTTAATATTAAGAAAAAGTATACGTGTTGGCTTATTTATTTATTTTTAAAGGCAAACTGGCACATTGGAAAGAGTCGAGCATTTGCAGCTGGGCAGGTGTGGTTTTTAAATCCCGGCTCAGCTGCTGGCTGGCTGGGCTGTGACTCTGGCGTGTTGCTGAGCCTCTGGAAGCTCAGAGTCCTCAGCGACGCATGGTGACACCTGCTTTGAGTGACTGTGGAGATGAGATTTCATTATTTCTGTGTGCCCCCCCCCCCCTTGAAGCATGATTCGAAATAATACAGTTATATTTTTTGAGATCCTCATTCACATTTGGAACAATTATGAATAGTAAGAGTCCTCTATATTTTATAGTATTTTATATAAATTGCATCATTTAGTCCCTACAACAACTTGATATGCAGTAACATTGTTCCCATTTTATAGTTTCAGAAAGACTTTGGATCTTCCTCAAATTTGCAGAGCTGTTAAGTGGCAAACTGAATCTGGAACTCAGGTCTTCCAGCTCCAAATTATACTCTTTGCCTTAAACCACTTTACCACATTGATTTTTCCAATGATTATTAATCAGCCCCCCCCCCTTAAAAGTAAAATAGATGGTTTAAATTTGTTCAAAATTTTTTCATGAATGACAAAAGTAGTTGCTGCTCATATCACAATGCCTCTTTCCTCCCTCTGCAACTCTAGCTGAACACTCCCCATTGGTGAAATGTAGAGAATCATAGCAACACCTCACTGATTAGAGTTGAAGGACCCACTGGGTGGACCCAGTGCGGACCTCAGGGTGTGCATCCGACCAATGAGTCATCACCATCATTGCCAACCTGGATGCTAATGTCCTTTCTAATTTCCATCTTCACACATTCACTCCATTTGTCCAATGCGACTCAGCATTATGAACCATGTGTTCCTGGAGATGAGGCACGAGAGGGGCAGGAAAACAATAGAAAGAAACACAGTCCTGCACTCGAGAAGTTTCCTATCTCACTGGCTTGCTTTTGCCTGAAAGGCAAGGCGCTGATTGCCTTCCACTCTGCGTCCACTGGACCATGGGGGATGGGCTCCGCAAGGGCGCCAGAGGGCTGGTTACAGCCACACCCAGAGCCATTATCAACAATTAAGGTGAATAGTGTTTGGGAAACACACTGCAGACCTGAAATGCACTCCTGTCAACGTAATTGAATCCTGTTTTATAGCCTATCAAGGCATCAGGCAGGCCTCTATCACTATTAGTCATGCTGTCTTTAAATTCTAGATGATCAGACTGTAGCTCTATCACATGCCTATGTCCCAACTTAAGGAACTCAAGAGCCCAGGAATAAATGCTTAAGAGGCAAGACAGGTAATTCTGAGGTAAGATATCCAAGGATCATACTCAGAGAAAACCTGTTTTAAGACAATCAGAACAACAAAATACGATTTTGAAATATGTAGCCAGCACGATGAGCTATCTTGTGCAATTGTGGACCAAGTGGTCTAAAGGCCAGTCTTGAAGGCGGTCCCCATCTATTTGCACAGGTGGCGCGAGGAATGCTGGGAGCAGAGTCATCAGAGGGCAGATGCCTGCTTTGTGCTATGGTCAGGGCACACTGGCTAGCTCTTCCTGTAGTTAACACAGAATGAGAGGGACAACGGACAGGGACAGCAAGGGCGGGGCCCGGGGCTGAAGCATGCTGAGGGCACATGAGTTCATAACTAGTCTGCAGAGTGGCAGGGGCAGGCAGAGGAGAGGCTAGGCAGCAGGCCTGGTGATGGCTATGACAGAAACAAATTCAGTAACCCCAAGTGAGAAAATATGTCCTGGATAAAAGTCATAACAAGGAGAAGAGAAAAATAGGCCCAAATGTGCAAAACTTTATGAAGGGAAAATTGATATAACAGAGAAATTAGGGGGAAATTACAGGTGGAATAAGATGGCATGTAATGCCCCATTAAGCCAGGGAGCATTCTGGGTAAGCATTTCAGTGCCTACCACCTCCACCATTTGATACGGAAGAGAAGCACCAGGGAGGATGAAGCCTTTAAATTGTTGCCATTTGTAGTTTAAAATCACAGCGTCGCCAGTGCTTGAACTGCACACAATTTCTTACAGTGTCTCCTGACTTTTCAGGAGAAACTGGAAATCTGAAATTCCATGTGAAACCTCCTAATTTCTAAAGGTTAAGTAAATAATAACAATAATAAAGCACATTGCAGAACAAATTAAGTTCTGTGATGCTTTCAGCCCCTCAGCTACCAATTTGTAAGAATTTGTATCCCTAAACAAAACCCATTACAATTTCCCCAAAACCAGTTTTCCATAAAAATTGCTCATATGTGCACACACACATGTACAGGCACACAAATACACACGTATTTATATGTATGTGCAAAGTCAATTGTTTACAAAATCTGACGTTATGACTGCTGAAATGAAGCTCTTTTCCTGTAATTACCTGGACTTGTTTCAATGAGGCATTCTCTTCTGGCTGTAGTAAGCGGAGGGAAGAACAACATAACCCAGGTTACCAGTGTGCCTCAATGTTAATCATCGTCTCATCAGGTGCTGACTTTCCAGTAACTGCTGCAGCCGGTGGGCCTCAGTGGGAAAATTCATAGTTCTGGGAGAGGTGTGATTTTGAAAAGAGGAGATGAGGGCAGTGAACAAGTTGCCCTCTGACCTTCCAAGAAACGCCAGGAAGAAAGACACTTGGATGTTGAAAACTGTGTCGTCATTTTGAATTAAGTACAAGTAGTCATATGGTGACTAGGTCTTTGGTGATTTCAAGATCATTATTTAAATACATTTTTGAGGAAACTCGCCAAATTTATTTAGTATTAACATAGAGAAGTTGGGTCACCAATGACTTGGCATCTTGAATACATTGGTTATCATTTAATCAGAATTAATACATATTAGGAATTGATATAACAAGATACTGGAAAACAGCCTAGAGGTCCCCAAAGCCATGTCCTAAAAATTCTCTTCTTAATAAAATGCAAAACTTCAAATCCATATTACAAGAATCTCATCTCATTCCTGATCATTGTTTGCCAATGAGATGGAGAAAGTGAGAATCCTACTTCTATTGATATTCATAAAT